TTTTGAATAGGCGCAAACCCAATATCTAGTAGTTGTTATAATAACGTGTTTCACTTCGATCATGTGCTAGTCAGTTAAAGACATTGTAGCCATTTAGTAAGTAAATTAAAAAACAAATTAATTGATCGTTTGCTACTAATATGGAACACCCTACTACTGAGGAAATTACAAGTGGATTAAAAATATTGCAAAGGCCATAGTACCACTAAGAGCTCCCTCCATAGCACTAAATTTTTTTTTTTTTTTATATTGTACCCTTAATATATTAAAAATATTATAATGTGATTTTTTTCGTTAATTATTCAGTCAAAAATCACTCTGACAAAATTAGCAATAAAAATTAATATTTTTAATACATTGAGGCTGTAATGTGAAAATTTTAATTTTTAGGGGTATAAATAAAAATTCTTAAATCTTCTGGGGTGCCAAATCAAATTCGTTCTTTTCTTCTCAAATGTCTCCGATAAAACACCCTAAGCCCTAAATTGCTCAAAGAAGCTCCGTGTTTCTCCATTGTACTATTCGGGACGACATTAACTTACAGGTTCTCTCTCTCTCTCTCTCTCTTTCTCTCCCCACACATACACACAACCACAATGGCCCATGAACTCTGCACCATGTAATCGTTTATGACGTAGTATGTTAGATTTCATGCTTTTGATCTAGGCGTCTCTAGTTATATTTTCCTAACCCAAGTTTGCAAAGAGATGAATTTTTGAATGGTGAGCCTCTTATCATTTACTCACCAATCATTTTTCTGCTTTCACTAATTGGTCTCTTATTAATCTAAATTTATATCAATTTCAGATGAACCAAGGTTCTTATGAATCCCGTTTCGTATATAACTGATATTTTTTGACTTTTTTATTCTGTTGCCAAAATTATGATTTACTTGAATGGAAAACTGGAAATCTCTATTTGGACCTTTTTGTTTGTCAAGATGACAGCTTGAATTGAGTTATGATAAAACAAAGCTACACTCAAAAGCCTTAAATCATAATTCCTTGGGGTTCCAGCTCTTGGTGGAATCTAATCCTTCTTTAATTTTAGCAATCACAGCTTCAGTCTTAACTCCTTTTGGGCTTTTTTTTTGTTTTTTGCAACTTTTTTGAGTGTTTTTATGGGTATTAATATTAATATTTATTCTGAATGGTGTGCCTTATTAATGAGGATATTGAAAGGTGGCAGCTAGCCTAGCTGGTAAAGCCTGTTGGCAGTCATACTAGAGACCTTAATATATCCCTCTTGCACTCAGGTTGGGAGGAGGATTTGGGCAAGGGAAGGCTACCCCTTTTTGCAGCAATTGTACCCCAAAGAAAAAAACAGAAAAAATAGAAGGAGCAGGTATTATATTTCTGTAGTTGGTATTGTTGCCCACAATGAGTCCTAAATTATTATGGTCTGTTGGTGTTTTGACAGGGTGATGGTAATTGATGTTGTTAAAGTCAGGTGTTTTAAAGGATCCAGTAGTCTGTCTATCTGCTATTGTTTGTTATCCAAGGATTTTTACTACTATGAATGAAGTAAAAGCAGATAATGCTTGTAATTTGTGTGCTCCAGTATCTGGTGGAGAATCTTTTGTTCAGCAATCTGTTCCAGTGAGTCTGAACAAGAGATGTTCATCTTCAATTCTTCAGTCAACACCTGAAATTGAAAAGAAGTATGTTCACCGTGTTTATGATGCAATTGCTCCCCATTTCAGTTCCACCCGGTTGCTAAGTGGCCAAAAGTTGCCACTTTCTTGAATTCTTTGCCACCTGGTTCTCTTGTCTTGGATGCAGGTTGTGGAAATGGGAAGTACTTGGGCTTGAATCCCAATTGTTACTTTATAGGATGTGATATTAGTGCTCCTCTTATCAATATTTGTGCAGACAGAGGGCATGAAGTTGTTGTTGCAGATGCTGTAAATCTACCTTACCGAACTGGTTACGGTGATGCTGCAATATCTATTGCTGTGTTACACCACCTTAGTACCGAGTGTAGGAGGAAGAAAGCAATAGATGAATTAGTCCGAGTTGTTAAAAAGGGTGGCCTTGTGCTAATTACTGTTTGGGCAAGGGAACAAGAAGATAGTTCATTGATTAACAAATGGACGCCACTTACCGAGAATTATTTGGAGGAATGGATAGGACCAAGTAGCCATCAAATTCGTAGCCCCCCTTCATCCTTCACCCTAGAGAGCATACCAGAAGTTGAGGAGAATGGTTCGGGAGAGCACCTAAGAGATTTCAAAGAACTATCTTGCAGTATGAAGTCTCCAGGGACTATACACTTAGCCTCTCAAAGCCAGGATCCTTCTGAGAAAGGGAAAAATGGTGAAAACCAGCAAGAATATTTTATCCCTTGGCACTTACCTTATCATCGTGCTGAAGTCAGTGGAGCTTCTGCTTGTGCCCTTGCAAATGGTTTGGCAACAAAAGATGATAAAAAGGGTGCAGTAGTGTACAATAGATATTACCATATATTCAGTGAAGGCGAGCTTGAAAGGTAATGCAGTTTTTTCCCTTGATAGTGATTGTGAACATAATTATTTCCTGCTCTATTTCATTATCAATAATTGTTTGCTGTACTTTTTTCATCGGGAATATATCATGCAGCTCGTCTTGCAACACATAAATTTTTAATCTTACTAAATTTTTTCATTTTACCTGACCATATGTACTACCCCATGTGGTTGATGGGCTATTATTTTACATATTAGGACAAAATCCTGATGCACTTTTGGCTCACATTTTATTTACTCCAATCTCTATCAGTTTAACCTTACCATGGACTATTAAGTGTTTGTGGATAGAATGGATAGTGGGAACATGCTATTTGGGATTGACAATGAAATATAAGCAGGGGCACGGGCAAAGATGTATCTGAAAATGGGGAGAGTATGTTTTCTGACTGCTGCCTAGGATGAGGATGTGTGGTTGTGGATTGGGTCATTTATGCTGTATGTGTCAAAAGATGGATTATGAAACAGCAGCCTAGTCTGCCTGTGCCAATTAGTGACCTTCCTCTGAAATAAAAGCAAATATTTTAAAATGAAGTTGTAAGTATGTAGTTTTGGGGAAAAAAAAAGAAAGGAAATATCATCGCCAATGAATCACTCACTTAGTTTTGAATTGATCTGTAGCTGTCTGTTCTGTTTTCTGAATCTCCTGATGATAGTAGAGACAATTACTTACTTGTGAAATAGACTTTCCGGCATAGTTATTAGTATCGTATGATACGTCACGACACACTTGAAAAACAATATGTATCGTGTCTCTGTATCGTTTTTGCATCGTATCGTATGATACACAGATACGATACATGACAATTCTGTTTTTTTATTTTTTATTTTTGATTTTTTGGGACTGAAATGACATTGTTTTACCCTATGACTTATTTTTAAATCACTAGTCAGTAAAATAACATCGTTTCAATAGTTATGGTTTTTAAAAAAAAAAAAAATTAATATAGTTTGCTACTAATATTGTTCAATTGAATTCAAAATTCTCGACTAATACGAAGGTTGTTCAAGCAATTAATGTTATAAGTTTGAATTAGAGGTCTTTGCATTTTGATATTACGGAACTACGTTGGGAACTTTAATAGTTGATGAAATATTAATGAAGTGTTATGTTATTATGAGTCTATGACTTTTTTACAAAAATATATATATATATATATATATATATATATATATATATATATATATATATATATATATATATTGTCAATAATTATTTAAAAATTAAAATTGTGCGTATTTTTCGATACACCATATATACGATACGATACCCTATTTTTTAAAATGATACGTCTTTCAATACACGATTTGACAACTATGCTTTCCGGGGGAGGGGGGAACACTTGTTGAATAGAAAAGGGAAGAGAAGGGAAGGGAAGGGAATCTACTATAGCAACAATACATTTCTATTTTTTCCTCTCCCCATTTTTTGAAGGTATAATCTCTCTTTCGAATATGCAACTATGGCTCTTTCCTTTTTTTGATATCATTTGACCTTCAAATGTCAAGGAGTTTACCCTAACAAACTTTTCTTGATTTTCCTAAATGCCCCTCTGAAAACCTTCCATGAATACTATGGGTGGTGTGCATTCTGGTTAGACAATGTTTTCTAATTTATGGCTTTGATTGTTTTGCAATCTCTTCTACTTACTGCATGTGCCATCAGGTCTAAATGATCTAGTTATGTAACAGCTTCATATTTGCACTATTAGGAATCTGATGGATTGCTAATATTATCACATGAGCAGAAGGCTATATTATCAATAGTATCCATTTTTTTCCATTTCACCTCTGGGGCAGCAATCTTATGTTGACATTGTTTATTGATTTTTTCAGACTTTCCTTTTATGCATATGTTGCAGGTTAGTGTCTGGTATGGACAATGCGGTCGTTGTTGACCAATTTTATGACAAATCAAATTGGTGTGTTATTCTTGAGAAAAGATGACAACAGTCAGACACACATGAACATGGGCAACCAGAGTGGAATTTCGTACAATATCGTTTCATTTTGGCAACTAGGGATTCAATTTTCATGGGTAGAGACCCTGGTATAGCAACCTTTTCAAGATGATAAGAGTTGTTGGCAGACTACTTACCATGGCAGGGCCCAACCATTTGGGAAGAGCATCCTTGTATCAGATTTTCCGGATGTCATTTACTTACACCATTGGGCTATTACCTTTCTCGGTCTTCCCTGTTCTTTTTTTTTTTTTGGACCCTTGTGCTTTGGACCTGTTGTCACTGTACATTTTATTTCCTTTTGATGGGAATTTATACTGCTGAGTGCTGTCACATTGATTTTTTGTAGAACTTTTGGGAATTATGTAAATGGACCTCTTCAGAGAGGCACTTCAATCCAATTGTATCTTCCACTGCTGTGTGAAACCTATCATTTGCTATTGTTGTGCATCTACTTTTGTTGGTTTTCTCCGTTTGACGAGGAGCAGAGTTGTTAGAAGACTACTTAGCACAGCGAGGCACAACCATTCAGGAAGAGCTTCATTCTCGTTAATTTTCCTGTGTCATTTACCATTGGCCTATGCCTTTCTTTCTCCATCATTGCTTTTCTCTTTTTCAAATACTCTCATGCTCCAGACTTGCACTGTACCGTGGATGTCATTGAATTTTGTACATAATCAAAGCAAGCCAAATCAGATTGGCTGGAAGTGAAGGCAGTCCCGAAAGTTAAACATTTTTGGTGGAAAGCTTGCAACAATGCCTTGGCTTCGGGAGAATCTGTTTAAGAGAAAATGCAATGAATCCCCTTGGTGCCAACTCTGTTCTGATAAGATTGAATCAGTTGAGCACCTCCTCTTCGAATGCGAGTGGACTAAGAAGAGGAGGTGCTCAACTGATCCAATTCCATTTCAAAAAAAATCAGATCATCCATATTGCCCACTAATTAATGACTGCATGTTGCTTACAGGACAACCACAAGAAGCTCAGATCAAAGCAGGAGGTGAGGGAGCCAAATCACTGTGTGGATCAACTAGCAAAGAAGGGAGTAATGGAACAAACTAGGCTGTTGCAAATGACTAGTAGTAACCCTTAGAACAAGCACTGGGCGGAGAAACTGGAGTTGGACCTTAGAGAAGTAAACTGCACCTGAGATACGGTTGATTGGTTCACCATGACAAAATTTAGTTCAACCTAATTATCCGACACGATTTGAAATGAAATTAACGGGTTTGAGTTTGATCTTAATGGATAAATTGCAATGTTTAGCTCTTGTAGTTTTTCACAGTAACCACTCTTTTCGTCACCACAACCAACACAGTTGCCTTCACGCCGCAACCACCCTTGTCATGGTTGTAACCAACACCACCACAATAGTCACGATTGCCATCCTACCATCACAATCATCACAGACACTATCACTACTGTCATCACGAATGACACCTTCACAACCCCACCGCCATCACCATAACCATCACCACCATGACTACTACAGTCGTCAACACCACAGCCATTACTATCGCGGCCCACCACCACCACCAACATTGCACCATCATCGTTGCCACTACAACTGCCAACGTTACCATCTTATGGTGTTTGGGGGTCTATTAATTATTATGGCACCCACAAGTGCTTGTTGATCATACAAATACACTTCTTCTAATATATTTTCTTTATCTTATATGGGTATTTACTTACGCATTGACTAGTTAGCCTACTCCTACATGCATGGGTACACTTCTATTTCTTGAAATTTTTTTTTTTTTTGATAAATGAGAATAAGATTTAAGAGTAGGTACAATAACAAAAGACAATAATTAAAAGCATCCTAATGTAGCATGGAGGGGATGTGCATCCAAATCCACTTGAGCCTTTGTTGAATTTGGCAGTTGATCTGGCCGGAGTGGACCTGTATAACCCATAGCGAGCCCCCATCTTGCTAAATCATGAGCAGCACCATTTGCATCCCTACGTGTGTGTACAAATTTCCATTCTGGATGATACTGAAGAATGACTTTTATGTCTTGTACAATTGAGAGCACAGTCCAATGAGGTTTGACATGAGGGAGCATGATGGAATGAACTACAATCTGTGAGTCTCCTTCTATGAGCACATAAGACCATCGCTTGGCATGTGTCCATTCCATAGCTAGAGCTTCAGCTATGAGTGGGTCTGTTTCTGTTACGATCTGGAGTTCACTTCCTATAACTGATTCATCATGAAGTCTGGCAATTGCTGCAATAGATGAATTCTTATTCCCTACTGCTGCATCAAAGTTAACTTTTGTAATTCCTTCATGAGGGGATCTCTAAAATTATGGTGGTTTTTGGATTGGTGGGGCCTTTGGATGGATTTTTACTTCTCTAAACTCATCAAAGGTCTTCAAAACTTGTTGGAGGAATTGATGTGGAATGACTAGTTGACTATTGTGAAGAGTCTTATTCCTCCAAGTCCAGGTACTATAAGTCAAGATAGTTGTGAATAGCAACAGTTCAGAGTAAGGAGGGCTATTGGGTCCAAAAAGGATGGTGGGATGGAGGATGTTCTGAATCCATTCCTATAGACTGAGGTGAGAAAGGAATCTGTACGAAGCCCCCATCTTGTGAACCAGACCATCCTAGGCAAATTGCAAAGGAAGAATAGATGTGTGGCTGTTTCTGGATATTGGTGGCATATGGGGCAAAGTGTCTGGTATAAAAAATTTGCTTGCTAGTAAAGGTCTAGTTGGGAGACACTCTGTAGTTAATCTCCAAATGAATATTTTGTGTCTTTCATAAATAGAAGTCTGCCATAATCTCTTCCAGTCGCTTTTTGCTAGGTAGTGACTTTGTGAATCTTGCACAGCTTTATAAGATTTGTAGGCAGACTTGCAATCAAAATTCCCATTCCTGTTCGGTATCCACAATAGCTTGTCTTCCCTCTGAAAGGTTGGGATAAGAATTCTTAGTATAGCATGAATGGTTTCTTGATTGAACAATGAGGATAAGAGAGTTATGTTCCAGTTGTTGGTGTCCTGGTCAATTAGTTTAGATACAAGGCTGGGAAGATTCTCTGATTCCTGCTGAAGATGGACTTTGAATGTTGGCAGATTAGGAATCCAAGGTTCTATCCAAATATATATTGATTGACCATTTGCCACCATATAGCATGCACCTTGCTCGATGATTGGTCTACACTCCAAAATTTGTTTCCAGATTTGAGAATCTTGTGATTGTTTACTGGTGTAAAAGAAAGAACTTCTAGAGCAGTATTTCCTGCTCAACTGACTGGTCCTTAGCTTGTTTGGGTTGGAAATCAATTGCCATCCTAGCTTGGACATTAAAGCTTTATTCATATCAAAAGTTCTTCTGAAACCTAAGCCTCCAAATTCCTTAGGTGTGCATAATGAGTTCCAAGATTTCAATGTCAGTGTATGTTTGTCCTCAATATGACCCCACCAAAAGTTCTTGATTGTTCTATCCATCTTACTGCAGAGGTGCTGTGGCAATAGGAAGGATTGCATGGCATAGATTGGCATTGCCAAAGCTGTTGACTTTATTAAAGTTGTTCTCCCTGCATAGGAGAGTAATTTGGTTTTCCAACCCTGTAGCTTCATCTCAAGCTTCTGTAAGATTGGTTGGAATGATCTTGTTTTGGACCTTTTTATGAAAAGAGGCAGTCCTAGGTAAGTAGCTTCCAAAGGTCCTTTTTTAATCCTTAAAATTTGTTTGATGGGCCTGATCAGAGAGTGCTGGGCATTTGGGCTGTAGTGCACTCTGGATTTCTCATAGTTTATCTGCTGCCCAAACCATTGAGCATATGTAGAGAGACAATTTTTGATAGCTGCAGCATCTTTCTTGGTGGCTCTTGCAAAAATGAGGAGGTCATCTGCAAACATTAGATGACTGATAGGTTCGCAGCTTCTTGAGATTTTGATGCCTTTGAGATTTCCCAGTAATGTTTTCCTGTGAATTAATCTAGAAAGAATTTCAGTGCAAATGACAAACAGTGAGGGTGAAAGAGGTTCGCCCTGTCTAAGACCTCTTTGGACATGGAAGTTTCCAAGGGGTCCCCCATTGATCAGGACTGAGAATGAAGCTGTGGAAATACATTGTTTAATCATATTGATAAATTGGTCAGGAAAACCAAGAAGCTTAAGAACTTGCAAAAGGAAAGACCATTCAACTTTATCAAAGGCTTTGGCAATATCAATCTTTAACATCATTAGAACACCTTTCCCTTTTTTCTTTTTGAATTGATGAACTATTTCTTGAGCCAAAATGGTGTTCTCTGCAATACCTCTACCTTGGATAAATGCAGTTTGGTTTGGAGAGACGATTTGGTCTAACAGAGGTCTGATCCTATTGGCAAGGATTTTGGAAATTATCTTATAAGCAACATTACACAGACTAATAGGCCTATACTGATTAACTATGTTGGCCTTTGTGGATTTGGGAATGAGACAAATATTGGTTCTATTAATTTCAGACAGTATGTGTCCGCCAACAAAGAAGGACCTGACCATATTAGATATATCCCCTCCTATGGTATGCCAATATGTCTGGTAAAATATGGCAGATATACCATCGGGACCAGGGGCTTTGGTTGGAGGCATTGCAAAAAGAGTTGCTTTAATTTCTTCTGGTGAGGATATGACACAAAGATCCGGATGTTGTTTAGGAGTGATTATGGGTGCTATGAGGTCATCTAAGTGCTGGGGAAAGTGAGGATTAGATGTTGTGAAAAGTGTTTGAAAGTACTGCAGGAATTGGTTACCAATAGACTCCCTCTCTGTGATCCATGTTCCATCTGGAAGCTTCAAGCAATCGATTGAGTTCCGTCTGCCTCTGATGACTGTGGTGGTGTGAAAAAATTTGGTATGGGCATCTCCTTTCATCCATTGGATTCTTGATTTTTGCTTCCACATCTCCTCCTCCCTTCTGAGTTGTTCATTAAGTCATGCTGCAAGATTTTCTCCTCCGCTATATTGTCATCAGTTGGTTCAGCTTGTTGTAGATAATCAATTCTGCTCCTTAGTGCCTTTGCCTTATGGATACAGTTTCCAAATACTTCCCTATTCCAATGCTTGTTTAGTAGCTTGTAGCTTCCTGCAAAACTTGTATGCTACTGATCCTCTTCTACTAGTCTTCCATGATCCTTTGACCACATGGTGACTACTAGGGTCCCTTATCCACATCTTCTCAAATTTAAAAGGTTTGTGAAAGGTTTTAGGGATTCCAGATGTGTTCAGGAGGAGGGGGGAATGGTCAGAAGAAATAGCTGGCAGATGTCTAATGGCAAAATCTGGAAATAACATTCTCCAGTCAAGCGTGACTAGTCCTCTGTCCAATCTTTCATTGATGTTTGCAAGACCTTGACGTTTATTGGACCAGGTGAAACGGTTGTCGTGATAGCCAATGTCAACAAGTCCTTGGTCATTAATGAAAGAACCAAAGCCACCATTTGATGGGGATGCAAATGATTTACCCCCTTTTTTCTCCTCCTGAGATATCACATTGTTGAAGTCTCCTATAAACATATTTGGCCATGGGCTAGTCATGAGTATTTGATTCATTGAGTCCTAGAGAGCAGGCTGAAGTCTTTTGTTTACTGGAGCATATATGCAAGTAAGCAACCAGCTTGAGTCTGGAGGGTTCAAAGTAATCACAGCTGATATGATGCTCTGGTTTGCAAGCAATACTTCAATCTCAACGCCTTTCCTCCAACACAAACATATTCCACCAGACAGTCTTTTAGCACTTTGTATCTCAAAGTTGTGGAATCCAAGGGTAAACAAAGTTTTTTTAGTTTTTTCTGAAGAAATTTTAGTTTCTGAAAGGAAGATGAAGTCTGGGTGATACTCCCTTATTTGAGCCTTCAAATGGTGAATTGTCGAGGCATGGCCCAGCCCTCGACAATTCCATATGTATCCTATCATGGTGAGAGTGGGGGCATAGTCAGGCCCGCCTCCTCAACCATTGAAATGGTTGCCTCTGTAACAAGAGCTTGGGTCTCTCCATGGATAGTTGTGTTGAAGTGCGTTGTTTCCTGGATGGTTCTCGCATTTGAATTTCCTGTAAGGTTTCCTTTGAAGTTAGTGGGTGGGGTGAGTTTTGATGTTTATCAATTCTGACTTGGTCATTGGTTTTATTTGTTTCAGAGAGCCGGTGAATATCTGTGGGCAGAGTTATCCCAGCTTGAATGGAATGAGGTTTAACTTCATCTGGATGTGGACCCTTTGCTGGTATAGGTAATCTAGCAATTATACCATCATCTTTCCTATAGAATTTTGGTGGTTGGATATGGATTCCATCTTCGAGAGCATTCCTTTTAAGTGAGAGGCGTGTGAAGATTATGGCCATGCATTCATCAAAAAAGGTACCTAGGTGAGGTTGTAGTAGTGTTTCTTGGCTTATGGTAAGGGATGAACTTGATTTTTCCTCCTGTGTGAAGAAATGAGAGCTGGGTCTTGAAAGTTATTGTTTAAAGCAAGTGGTGAGGTGCTGCTTCCTTGCATTGTTTTGTGCAGAGGGACAAGTTCCAGGCAAGGAGGGGTTTTGGAGAGATCAACTGAGCTTTGGTTTTTATTTTTGGGTATGAGTGTTATGGCCATTGGGTTATTGGGCATTGTTTGGGTTTTGGTGTCATTGGGCTTGATTGGTTCTGGGTTTTGGGGTGGGCTGTCTGTTGGGCTATGATCATTATTAATTGGTGTGGTGGATGGGTTGATTCTGTCTTGGATGTAATGTGGGCCAATTTTGGATAGGTTAGGGTTAGTTAGTTGTGTGATATAAATGAACTGTGGTGAGGGGGTTAGGGTTTGGGAAGGCATTGTGTCTTCTGAGGCGGTATGGTAGGGAAGAGAAGAAGATTATGTTGTAGAGTTTGTTATCAAGGGATCCAATGGGTACGTAACACGTGGCAATTTCTCTGTAGGTTGTGATTCTGGATATGAGTGCGCCAACTTTGCCACAGGTGTTCCATCCGCTGTACACGTGCCAGGATCTGTTTGTTGTTCATTCTCCGATGCTAGTGACGGGAAGGTTAGTTCACATGTCACTGCTGCGGATAAAATTACTGGTTCACGCGCCTCCAATTCTGGCCATGATTGTGGGTTTTCCAATGAAAGTTGTAAGGTTGATAACGCTCTTGGGTTTGCTCGAAGCTGGGGACCATATTCCCCAGATTGATTGTTTGCTGGTTTGTGGTTACAAATGCTTTTTTCATGTCCTATCCTCCCACATAAATAGCAAAAATCCCCTAATCGTTCATACTTTAGAAGTATGAGTTTTTTCCTTCCATGGCTGGGCATCCAAAAGTGGGTTCTAAGAGGTTGTGTGAGATCGATGGTAACACGGGTACGAATATACCCTTTCCACACTGTTCCTTGGTGCATCTGTTGAGGAGAGAGAGCTAGAGTGCCCAGTGCTTGGGCTATCTTGAAGGCATTTCTAGGCGTGATTAGATCAGGGGATAATCCATGTGCTTGTATCCAAAAGGCTGTAGAATTAAATTCCAAATCCGAAATGGATCGATTCCCAGTCCACGGTAGAATTACCATCAGATGGCCTTTAACTGTCCAAGGGCTCATACAGATTACCTTTTGTTTGAGATCCTTGTTCTTGAAGATGAAGATGTAAGTGTCTGCTTCGCCATCCTGGATGCTCATTTGTTCCCCTGCATTTCAGGCTTTGGAGAGTATTTCCTTCACCACATTTCGATTGATGTTTTTGGACGAGAAGATTTTTCCTATGAGGCAAGCATTCTGTACAAAGTCTTTGGTATTCACATTAGATTCTAATGGGATGAGAAGCTGATGGGACATTTTCAAATACTCCAAGATGAAGACACGTGTCTCGGCATCAGTAAATTCTTGTTATTATAATCACGACACATACCCGTTGGATCACAAGTCCCTGTTCCCACGAGGTACTGTTCATAGGGATCAATAACACCCAGTACGTTACGTACCGACACGTATCCCTCGGTCGCATATAGGCACATCGGTCCCTATATGTACCACTCACCTCAGTACCGAGATGTACCCGTCTAGGATGGCGTTCTCTGCTCCTGCAGAGGTAATTGATGTACAGGTCACTAGCCTAGGCTAGGCTAGGTTAGCCATCATGACCTTGTCTTATACAATTGGTGTCAGAAGGCACAAGAAGGCAGAAGACACAAGAAGGCAGAAGACACAGCCAATGGGGAATGGGCGCGTGGCATATTGTGTCACATCAGAGACAAAAAGACCAGATGCCCTTGCTGACACACGACTTGAGAGAGCAAGTATTTAATTACATCATTCCCTTGATGAGACAACATTTAATGCGGTAAGGCTGAAAGTGAAAGGTAATAAATGTCCCTAAGACTGGGCATTTATTACATCCTTGCCGAGAGGAGCTCATTAAACAGTCGGCAGGCCGATGACGTAACCTTGGTTGCTCGGGATCCCGAGCAGTTAAAAAAGAAGACATTCCTCATAGGAATCAGTGCACACGTTGTCCATATCTAATGATCACCTACTGACCACACTGACAGCAATCATGAGTTTTTAAGGTATAAATACTCCTCACAAAAGGCAAGACGGTATGCAACGAAAAACCTTTTCTCAAACTTATACTCAGTGTTTTCTTTATCCCTTCTCTCAAAAAACTGACTTGATCGTCGGAGGGGATACGCCGAAAAACACTCCGGCGCCCTCCTAACTCTTTTTTCTCTGTTCCAGGAAGCTCCCTCAGCCTTACTGGGCCGCTCCGTTGATCCACGAGAGTCACCCATTACCGTTCCAGGCCACCAACGGATCTCAGCCTGTTCCAAATAGCAAGGTTGACCATTTGATTGACTGACTCGAGTTCACCACGGGAAAGATCTGTTCTCGTGTTTATATTGTGCAAGATCCTGCACGCACAATTTGGCGCCGTCTGTGGGAAACGACTAGTTTTCCTAGTTTCTTCTCTATAAAGAACAGTAACCATGGTGAATACTCGACAAAAAGAGAAAGGTCCCCAGCAAAGAAGTCTTGAATTACGAGCTCCATGTCATAATGGAGGGAGGGATCACACTGATGGGAATAGAAATGCCTCTATTCAGTCAAGAGGGCTTACTCCTCAAACCAGTATGGGCCTCAGGTCAGGAGGATCCGCGCCCCTTGGCTCTTCAACTGGCGGAGGTGATCGAAGAAAAGTTTGGAGATCGATTACGATAGTTGGAAAAAGACAATGTGAACGTCCTAAGCCGGCTCAACGAATTCGCCGCCTCCGACGAAGGGTCGAGGGACTCATTCCTTTCTCGTGGACTCCCCGCCCGGGAGGTGAAACGAAGGATCTGAGGAATCATTTAAATAACAAGGCAGAAAGCTCCAGGGCCCCAAAACGACCAAGAGCCAACGAGCGCCCTCTTAACGACCATTCCAGGAAGGCAAGGCCTTTAGCCCTGGACGACCTCCGGCGAGGATTGTCAAGGCGGAGGAAGGGAGATGAGTCCGAGGAGGATTTAACCCTATCCACACGACGCCCAGGAAATGGGGGACCTATTGATGAACTCGGAGACTTCAGAACATATCCCGTTGGGGAGGAAATTGATCTCAGAGCTCGATGGAATCCAAGAGAAAGAGTAAAGCTGTCCAGGATGAGGTCGAAGACGAGATCATACAAACACCCTTTACCAGGGATATCGGAGAGATGGAGGTTCCAAAAAAGTTCGTCGTGCCGAGGTTCAAAACTTATAATGGCGGTCCGATCCCGAAGCCCACCTCAGGCAATACAAGCAAATGATGTCCCTGTATCATTCAGACCAACGGTTCCTCTGTCGAGTGTTTCCCATGAGCTTGGGGGACTCTGCGATGAAGTGGTTCGAGGCACTTTCCCCCAACAGCATTGGATCATGGAAAGAATTAACGAGGCAGTTCCTGGCCCGATTCATTATGGAGAGTAAGCGGCCTAAAGACGTTGGATCATTGCTAATGCTAAGACGGAGGGAATCTGAGACCCTTCGCCAGTACGTCATCCTGTACTGGGAAGAGGTTAATGAGGTAGAGGGCTGCTCGGAAGTCATGGCAGCGGCGTTTTTCAGGCTCGCTTGGCAAGGGACACGGACCTGTACCGATCCCTGACCAAAAAGACTCCCTCGGATATTGGCGAGCTGATGGCCTGGATAAACAAGTACTCTAAGGTCGAGGACGAGATGGGAAACAGCAAAGGCAGAACCCTTCAACCTAAGAGAAAAGAGAGGGAGTGGGAGGATACTTCCCGAAAGGGACTGCTACCACCTCTGGGGGGGTCATTCACAGGAGTTCACACTATGTTCAAAGAACCCATCTACAAGTTGTTCCATAAGATCAAGCGTGAGTCATTCTTCAAGTGGCCGCCTAGGATGCAGAGCGATCCCTCCACCCGTGATCAAAAGGTCAGGTGTTCCTATCACCGGAATTTTGGCCATCGCACCAAAAGCTGCAGGGTATACAAATCTTTCTTTAAAAGATTGGTCCGAGATGGATACTTAAAAGAATACATAGAGCCCAAGCCGGAAGAGAGACGCACCCTTGTCCCAACCGAGGAGCCGGACAACGTCATAGATGTGATCCATGTATGTTCGCTAGATCGCCCCACGTCCAAGGAACTCGAGTCCGATCTCAAGAGGGTAGCTTTTACAAGAAAGATAGCCGAGAATGATGGAGGGCCACCCAGTAAAAGGGCCAGGATTGGCAAGCCGAGCATCACGTTCTCCGACGCGGACTTGACGGGCGTGGTGGTGACTCCTCATAACGACGCCCTTGTCATAACCCTAAAGATAGGCAAGTTCGACGTCAAGAGGGTGTTGATAGACTCCGAAAGTTCCTCGAAAATAATGTACTCTGACACTTTAAAATGGATGGGTCTTAGCCACAAGGACCTCACCAAGGTCAGAACACCCCTCATAGGATTCAACTGCTCGTTCGCCCTGCCCATAGGCAAAATCACATTGCCAGTTGTCACAGGTCCCTTCACCATCAATACCGAGTTTGTCGTGATTGATACGGACTCTCCCTACAATGTGATCATGGGACGAGCATGGCTGCATGCGTTGGGGAGGTGCACTCCACTTATCACCAGAAACTGAAATTCGCCACGCTAGAGGGGATCATGGAGATCCGAGAGGACCAAGCGTCCGCAAAAAATTGTTTTTTTTTAGCTGTTAGAGCAGGGGGCTTTCACCCAAGAAAAGGGGTGCGCTCCGGAAGAGATCCTAGAAAAATAGCAATCACAGTTCGGGCGTCCAGGAATGGATGACCCCCGGATTGACCTGACAGAACAGTTGGTGGAAGACCTCCGAAAGGTGCCCTTGGTGGAGGATGAGGATGAAAGATACTTTTTAGTTGGAACCGCGATGCCCACAGCCGAACAAGAGGAAATGATTGAGTTCCTGAGGGAAAATGCAGACGTGTTCACTGGGAACGCAATGAAAATGACGGGAATGGACCCCAAAATAATCACACACAAACTGCATGTTGACCCGGCGCACAAGCCAGTAAAACAGAAGCCACGACGCATGGCCCCGCACCACGCCCGCGCGGTCAACGAAGAGATCGATAAACTCCTGGAGGCCAACGCCATTCGGGAAGTACAGTTCCCAGAATGACTATCTAACACGGTCTGCGCGAAGAAGAAGGGGAAAAAATGGTGTGTCTGCATAGACTTCACTGATCTGAACAAGGCATGTCCCAAGGACGACTACCCCCTACCAAAGATGGACCAGCTAGTGGATGCCACTGCCGGATATGAACACATAGACTTCTTGGATGTTCGAGCAGGATATCACCAGATCCCTCTCCATCCCCCGGATCAAGAAAAGATGGCGTTTATCACTCCAAAGGGAGTTTACTGTTACAAAGTGATACCGTTTGGGCTAAAGAACGTCGGGGCAACATACCAAAGACTGATGAATCGGATGTTCAAAAAGCAGATCGACAACACCATGGAGATCTATATTGACGATATGCTGGTGAAGAGCAAACGAAGCTGTGACCACCTGGTAGATTTGGCAGATACCTTCTCCACCCTTAGGGAGTACAGGCTGAAGTTGAACGCTGCAAAGTGCATTTTCAGAGTAGAGTCGGGTAAATTTCTCGGATATCTGGTGAGTCAGCGAGGAATCGAAGCTAACCTGGATCAGATTCAAGTGATTCTAGACATCCGGAGCCCCCGAACTGTCC